AAACTAATAAGAGGAAATAAAGTATCGTTTTTCTTTCGTTACATATGAACATTCAGTGTATTAACTCTGACATGGAATGTTCATAATGTAACTCATGTATGTCCCAGGAATATACATGTACATCACATGAATGTTCCAGGCATATTCTGGGAATATCATTTTGCTATGTGAGAAGGAGCTGGGAAATTCTCGAATTGCACCCTTTTCCTGCGCCTACCTGAATTGCGTTGTGAGGCGAATACCGATTCAAATCGAAGCGTTTCTCGTCGTCACTATCAACCAGGGAAAGATCATCAGAGAAATCGTCATCATCAGACAATGAGTCGATTTCCTGATGAGTGGGGCCGATTTTCCCTCCTGCTGGATAAACTTCCATGCCACCGTCCACAGTTTCTCTATCATTTGACCATTCCAGGCCACCGTCTGTGGGTTTCGCGTCGGGAACGATCGTAATCAGGGGCTAGAAAATGTGAGGTTTTTCCAGTTGGGAAACTCTTGTGGAAAACCTTGACTGTTTTGCGTTAAAACACATGATCACTCACCATTCTTGCACTGATTGCGCACACAAAAATATTAATTACGAACGAGAAAGTCTACTAAATCACAACGGGGCCGAAACGGAAATGACCGGAATAACAATTTGTGGATATCAGCATCACACATCCTTGCTGCCGCCTTATCATCAGCATCCAGGCACCCTCTTCCAGCCAATCGCAACTGCAGATTTACGAAGTAGAGGGTGGAACGGGATTATTAAGCGGGAATGGAAACGCCCTTTTGTGTCACCTTTAGCAGGAGGGTGGCAGCAGGCATTGATTGAATTCCAAATATCCCGTCAATAGAGGAAATTGCCTTTAAATTCAATGAAAACTCGCCTGATTTGAGGGGGAGATTCAAAAAATTCAGTTGGACTGTTTTAATTTCATTTTAGTACCTACAAGGGAAAAAGTGCACAGAGTTGTTATGAGCATGAAAAGCGTGTTTCGTTGTTTATTGAATGAAACCTGAACAAACAGTTAGCAACTACGACTTAATCCGGCAAAAAAGGGACTGTAAGTCCGAATGCAAAGGCTATCTGTTTTTTTCCTGTACAAATTTGACCAGTTTTCTCCTGTTTAGAACCGGCTTTTCTTCAAGTTTTCGTACTATTCTCTCGTGATGGGAATTTTATCTTAAAAACTTTCTAAAAAGGCCATTTATTTCTGTCTAGAATGATGTACAAATAAGCGTTCTTGCTCATTTTGCCTCCGAGAAATGAGCAAAAATGGGACGG